TCATTATTTCTTCACTGATGTTTCGTCCCTTTTTTATTCCTAAGTACTAAGGCGACAGACTCTCACAATCCGTCTTCTCACCCTTCAAACCGGAGCACGTAAACTGGTGACAGCTAAGTAAGATATTTGCCGGCAGAATTAGATTAGATGTATCCACGCAAATGACTTCATCCAATTTTCTGATTATAAACGTGGAAGTTTGTGAAAGTTGATGGGATTTATCCAGGATGTCTGTTACGTCAAGTAAAAACTTCTTAATGACATTTTAATTAAACTTTACAATAATTTAGATTATACATCAGAGTAATACATAGGCTATCATTTTACTCAGGGAAATTGCGGACATAGCTACATAAATTTCTAAATAAATTAGTGTGGAAGTGATTCGTGGTAAATATGGAGACACATCAGCCTGTGCGCTCGCGCAGGTGAGGCGCCAGCGGCCCGTTTTTGTGGCGTCCGACACTAACGCGCCATTTTACACGTTTTAAGGGCCCTCGGATCGTTTCCAAATTTGTACTTGTTATTTTTTGTCACTGTTGAGTGACGACTTAAGTGTCTCGAAATGAGTTATTTGTATAGGCTCTTAGCGCTGCGGCGCGGCCCGGCTCGGCTTGTGTCGATGATGCGCAAATAGAAAGCCTCTTGTTTTTGTACAATGTCAAATCCAAATTAATATAGTTTTGTACAGTAATAATAATAATGTATTTTGAGACAACGTGCTCCATTTTGTATGTAATAACTTAATAACATAACTTATCCTATGTTAGTAAAATCATTACATACTATAAAACAAAGTCGCTGTCGCTGTCTGTCCCTATGTATGCCTAAATCTTTAAAAATACGAAATGGATTTTGAAGCGGGTTTTTTTAATAGATAGAGTGATTCAAGAGGAAGGTTAATATATATATATACACACACACACACACACACATACGCATAATGTTTTACATATATACATATCAAATACAGGCGTAGGTTCTTTTTGTTTTGTGCATTCTTTCTTTTTGTTTATAAGTTAAATTTTCTTTGTTTTTGGTAAATTTAAATATTTTGTAAATTTTTTAGACAATACGTGATGGGTAACGACATTGCATGTATTTTTATTGTTTTTTAGTTTTTGGAATTATATAAACTCGGTGGAGGGCGTCGATATTCGCAACACAGTTTTATACTTCTGTGAATATCATCGTTTCTTTAGTAAATTAGTACACATGTTTTCTGTATTAAGTAAATGAATAAATAAATAAAAAAAATATTACTTGTACATCTGTGCGGAGATGGGGCGAGTAGCAAGTATAAAAAACTTTAACGAATTACCTATCCCATCCAGTGTCTTAGAATGGGAGAGTCTATTTTACAAGCAATTCCCTCCAGGACACTGTTGGAACTTGCCCGCACTCTGCCTAATTGTACTGTTGTACTATTGTACTGTTATTCGCTTCCGCCGTATAATATAGAAATCGTCTGTGACAGTGCTTGTAATATTATTCGTGTGATGTGATATTTATAGTGGGTTTATTTTCACAAGTCACTACTCACTTTTCACTTCTATTCAGGTGAATTAGAAGAAGAATATTGCATATGAACTATCCTCTGATCTTCTCGGTATCCTTACCTTAATACTTGGTGGCTTGTCTACCATTCTTTTTATAAACTTTGTATTATTGATTTCTGTTTTTTATGTCACTTTTCACTAGTTGTTACTTTTCCCTTTTGGGAAATTTAGACATTTATCACCACTATTCTGATTTTCATTAAAATAGTCGTTGTGTTCGCGCTCCAGGCACACTGTCTAGCCTCTTATGAGATGCATTCCTTTCAACGGTTTTTCCTCGGGTGGTTAGTGAATATATATTTAAATAAATTCACAAACCACCCGAGTCTAAGTCTGGGAGAAATGTTTACTACATTTCTGCCAGTCTTATCGGATTTTACTACACGCAAATTTCTCGCTCGTTCTTCTAGTCATGAGACAGCTTTACGAAGGTGGATAAAAAAATACTATAACTATTTAAGCATGCTTAAATTTAGATTTATTTAAAAGATATTTTCTATTCTAGTCTAAAGGATAGTCTTCTGAAGTATCTTCTGTTCTTTTATTTGTTGAAGGATTAGAAGATTCTTCAACTGATGAAATATAATTTGGTTTGTTGTTTAGTGGTCTCGTTCTGTGACCATTTATATTAATAATTTTTCATAATTAATGTATGTAAGCATCAGAATTATGCAACCGATTATCGTGGGCAGTTGAATCATATTCCTCTAAGTGTAGGTGTATTCATCATTATTCAGTGTTTGTATGAATACTTGTTCCTCTGGCGACTCCATTTAGTAAATCTAGTAGTTTGGTCTCGAACTGTTAATTGTTGAACTCAGTAATATCTATACAACTATAATAGTGCTGTTACGAGTACATCAGTTTATCAATGTTATTACATTTGTTATGAATGGAATTAGATTCATTATCTATACATCTATATATACAAATAAAATTGGAGTGTCTGTTTGTAATATTGAAATAACTGTTTTTTACTATATGCGTATGAATATAAGTACGGCACATACAATTTTTGTCTGTCTGTTTGTTTCGGCTAATCGCTGAAATGGCTGGAGCGATTTTGACGGGACTTTTATTTGCAGGTAGCTTATGTAATGAGTAATTTAGGCTTCTTTTAGTTTAGAAAAATCCTTTATTTTAGAAAAATACAGTTAAATTCCACGCGGACGAAGTCGCGGGTGTAGCTAGTTTGTTAAATATAATACTTATACGTTTAGTTACTTATTAAAATTGTTACCAGTCGCCGGTATAACGACTTTAGTAATATATTACATAATATCATTAATTCCTGGATGTTATCGTGGAGCTGGACCCAACTCGTATTTCTAAAAACAAACATAACTAATTCGCTAATGATTTAGGTAACTATACAGAATGATTACAAACGGATGTTGAAAAACAATAGTTTCGACCACACGGAACCACCAGAGTTTAGTTTGCAGAGGTCCCACGGGAGCGAGCGCGGCTGGTTCAGATTTCGTACACGTTCACAGTTGTGACCAGTTTTTTGGTCGTTAACAAAAGGCGTGTGCGACGGTCACGGTGGGTGGTGGCGATGGTGGTCACCGTCGCACGTGCGGCCCGTGCTGCCCATTTAGCGAGCATCCTCTGCGGGTGAAATACTTGTAAAAGCATAACGTAGTACAGAATATTGGATGCGGGTGGGAGCTCCACATGGTATTGCGTAGAAGCGTGAATATCGACCGGCTATTGTTACAAGCGAACGGTCCGGTCCACTCGGGACAAATAAAGCCGTTGACTCATCCGCCGTTGTTAGGTTATTTACTTTAATTTTAGAGTTCTTGAGTTTTAACGACACAACCAGGACAATCGCTAATGTGGCTAGTGAAGTACTTTTATTGCTAAAGTGTAAATTATGACTCAGGCTAGGTTTAGTGGGTCCGATGATGAATATACCTACGACATTCAAATATACGTTGCAATGCAATATTATTTTTATTTTTGTAATTGTAGTGTGTTGTTCTTGAAAGAAATTACAATCAGGATATATTTTACCAATCTATACATCTATACCTACATATAAATAGAATTGGAGAGTTTGTTTGTATTATTGAAATAACCGTTTTTTACTACATGCATATGAATACAACAAAATAACATTTTTTACAATTTTTGTCTGTCTGTCTGTCTGTTTGTTCCGGTTAATCTCTGAACTGGCTAGACCGATTTTGACAATCCTCTTATTAGAAAGTAGCTGATGTAATAGAGTTACGTAGGCTACTTGTATTTTAGAAAAATAAAGTTAAATTCCACGCGGACGAAGTCGCGAGTACAGCTAGTCTTAAATAAACACACTCCTACATGTGATCAATCGTCACCACTTACTCAGCAGCGTGTAGGTACAGCCGTGTCGGGTTACTCCAGCCTTAAACAGTAGCGGGTTGCCTAAACGTGACTAAGTCAATGTCGATCCGATACGAAGCAATTCAGGGAAGTTAATTCGATATCTAATTTCCGTGTTTTCACTCCACGATATGGAAGTCTCGTGATGGCTAGCGTACCGCGTATCTCGGGAGATAACGAGCGCCGCGTTATCTCCCGAGATACGCGGTTCATATTCGCGTATCGCTTGTACGAGTATCCACTACATAAACATTATGTAGTTGGAGCTAATGATAAACCAATGCCTCCATCGATTTATGTTTATCTCGTTCGTCTAATTTGTCGTGTCATCAGTGCGCAGTGTTGCATTGTTTCTTTTTTATTTATGACTAGCTGTACACGCGACTTCGTTTGCGTGGAATTTAACATTAATTTTTTAAAATAAAAGTAGCCTAAGTTACTCCTAATTACATTACTTACTTGCCAAAAAAGGGCCCGTCAAAATCGGTCCAGCCATTTCCGAGATTAGCCGGAACAAACAGACAAAATTTGTAAAAAAAATATTTTGGTGTATGTTCCGTATTTATTTCAAACAAATTGAGGACAAAATGGGAGTCGTGTCGTATCAAGAATTAAAGAGCATGATGGAAGATCGCGGAAAGTGGCAAGAGCTCCACCGACAAGAGCGTAGCTCTTAAATTAAGAATGAATGAATGAACCGTATATATATTCAAATGCATGTAGTAAAAACAGTTATTTCAATATTACAAACAGGCACTCCAATTTTATTTATATGTAATTTGAATTAGGTAGGTATACAGCTAGCTAGGTTACCACGAGCACTCGAATTTTATTTATATGTATAGATAATGGAATGGTGCACCCGTCGGCGCTAACGGTTTACGCTGGCGGGGCACCAGTGGAGGATGATAAGATGAACATGAGGTCAGGTCAGTTAGCCCATCGTGACAAATTCACCAGGAATTTATCACGATGGTTTCCAGGGGGACCGCGTGGAGGTCAACCTGACAGTACATTGCTAGTAATGGGGTCATAAGTCCACATTACTAACAATCCCCCTATAACTTCCCTTAGTTGCATTGTTGGACGGTAACGGAGCGAGCAAGGCGCCTAATGAATGCAAGCGGGTCGAGGGCGACCGCGGCGGGGCCGGGGGGTAGAGGGGGAGGGGGTGACGGCGACGGCGACGGTGACGGTGGTGATAAGCGCCACTTCCGAGACGTTCCGAGCCATTAGCCTCCGCTCGCTCCACTTAACCATACACCACGCATCGTGGGCTTCAAAATTATGTTAATGCAACAACACGTACTTCAGCGGTAACGGGCTACCGTTTTGACTCGATACCGTATCGCAACACCTCCTGTGGCGATAAACACAAGAACCACGTAACTTTTGTGGTATCTATATAACATCTAATTATAAAATATCTTTATTCATGTAGGTCTATTACAGACTTATGATATGTCAAATCTATTTATTTATTTATTTAGGATCAAAAACAGGTTCACAATTAGAAAACTTATAATTATTTTACATTTTCTAATTATCTCATTATCTACCGTCAGTTCGGAATGATTTCGAGATGAGAAGAACTGATAAGAAACTCAGCTCGTATTCTTTTCAAATTAATATAGTACATGTTTACAATAATATAGATTAATTATTAAATTCAAACTTGGGATTGATTTATTTTTAACTTAACTTCGTCTAACAAAGTGTAATGCTGTGGACGATTCATTAGAAGCAGTGACAGTTTCAAAATTAAAAAGAAAAAATCAAAATTCTAATATCATTTATTCATGTAGGACATTTTAGTCACCTATGAACGCCAATTTTTTTATCTATCAAATAAAATTGGAATGTCTGTTTGTAACATTGAAATATCCGTTTTTTACTATATGTATATGAATATAAATACGGTACATAGTACACCCAAATATAATTTTTATCTGTTTGTCTGTCTGTTTGTTTGTTCCGGCTAATCTCTGAAATGGCTGGACCGATTTAGACGGGACTTTTTTTGGCAGGTAGCAAATAAAGAGTTAATTAGGCTACTTTTATTTTAGAAAAAGAAAGTTAAATTCCACGCGGACGAGGTCGCGGGTGCAGCTAGTACATTATAAAGTCATTGAAATGAATACATTCCGAGGATCACGAGATCGATTCAATTTCGTCCTTTACTCCCAATTTATCAGTCTATAAATCCATATTGTACCCACAATTAATATTTGCAACGGCCTATATTGTTAACCAATTATATATTGAACTAGCTGTTACCGCGACTTCGCGTAGAATTTAACTTTATTTTTCTAAAATAAAAGTAGCCTAAGTTACTCCATATTACATCAGCTACCTGCCAAAAAGTCCCGTCAAAATCGAACGAACGAACGAACGAATCGAACCCGCGACCATCGGAAGTAAGCAGTGTGCTATACCACTAGACCATCGAGGCAGTCATCTCGCAAGCGATGCCTTCACAACGCATGTAGTTTTCAACATACTTATTGGTAGCGCTGAGAGTCACGTATCCTAATGACTTTCCCAATTAAGATGTCGTAACAAAGCGATATGTCGCGTTCATGTCACAGAGCGTGTTGCGTAGTACGAGTAGGTATTGGGGTACTGTATGTACACTCGCACACTACTGCGGCACCTCCACACCTTTTTTTATACTATGGTCTTGGCAAACGAGCATATGGTTTGTATAATGGTAAACGCTTACCTATGGACACCTGAAATATAGTCTAATAATGATTAATAATAATAATTAATAATGATACTCGTTCTCTTCTCTTCTGTTCTGCTACTGTAACGTTATAAAATGCAATGCCTAAGTCGAGTCAAAAAATGTAAATGTATCAAAATTGATCACGATTTACTATCAACACATTTAATAATTTTTATATTGTATACTAGCTGTTACCGCGACTTCGTCCGCGTGAAATTAACTTTATTTTTCTAAAATAAAAGTAGCCTAAGTTATTTCTATGTAATAAGAAACTACCTGAAAAGTCCCGTCAAAATCGGTCCAGTCATTTCGGGCATTAGCCGGAACAAACAGACAGACAGACGAAAATTGTAAAAAATGTTATTTTAGTGTATGTACCGTATTTAATTCACATGCATGTAGTAAAAAAACGGTTATTTCAATATTACAAACAGACACTACAATTTTATTTATATGTATAGATATGTATAATGAATGCACGTGACTGTACTCAGTGTTGGGTGCGATAACAACTGCCTGTACCTACTCATACCTACATGTTGTGCACGTACGATGTATATGTATACACATCGGAATTTTTTCCACTTACTAAATATATTTTACTAAATCATTAACTGCAGTAACACGCGAACGGACGCTAAGCGAAAGTAGCCATGTATCATTACAGACAGTACGTAACGTTATCATTTTAATCTTATCTAAGAGGACTGTATTTTTATAATGTATATTGTAACAGATTTATTTAATGTATATTATGAGATATCTTTAAAAATTTGACCATATCTTGTTTTCATCGAAAGCACCATTTTTTGTCAATATTTAAGAGGTTATAAATGACAAGCTGCGCCCGCGATTTCGTCCGCTTGAATAGTCACCTTGGCCATAAAGATTTCATAATCTATCCCAAAAAAGTTAAAGAAAAAAGTGTCGTTTACTTATATTTGAAATCATCAAGAAATAAGTTTCAAGTTTCTAAAAGGACGATACCTTCATACAATCATTCATCTCCTCTTTCAACCCCTTACAACCCCTTTTTCACATGAAAAAGTAGCCTACGTCCTTTCTCAGGATCTGTGCTATCTGTGTACCAAATTTTATTGATATCGGTTCAGTAGTTTTATCGTGATGGCGAGACAGTCAGAGTTACTTTCGCATTTTTTACGTACTTTCTCAGGATGTATACTATCTGTGTACCAAATTTGATTTATATCGGTTCAGTAGTTTCGGCGTGAAGGCGAAACAGACAGACAGACAGAGTTACATAATATTAGTAAGGATAACGAAGTAAGGATTGATATTAATGTATGTATGATGGTGTGCAGGGGTGGCGGCGGATCTGGTGGCGGCGCGGTGTACGGCCGGTGCGCGTACCCCGCGGGATCACCTTACTTTGGCAACGGGACCGAGCTGGCCGCTCAGCCGCAGATATGGAGCTCCAGCGCAGGTAAACACGCGGCACGGCACATACCTCCATGATGCTGTATCTGTTGTAAGATGCGAGTAAAGGTTGATATATTTGTCTGACGTGATGTGACTTGCTGCGTCAGAGCAGTATGTTGCGATACCTATTGTTGTGTCTTATCAGAAACAATACGATAAGAGTCAGAGCACAGGGTATGTTAACGGGGTATCCTGTTGTCTCATCAGAATGGATCCCGGTTGAGTCAGAGCGGAGGGTAAGGTAATGGGATGTCACGACACGTCAGGCATATACAAGCGCCAGTGTTGTGTTGTGACGCGTCGGAGATTCACCTTTTCTAAAGCTATGGCTGTATTGATTTAAAATATGATCAAAAGGCGTTGGAACATGACGTATACGTCACGACAAATATAAATCCACTTTTTTTTTTTTTATATCATAATTTAATGAATGTATGGACGGCAGGCGGATCCCCCACGTACGGCGGCGCGGTTTTACCGGAGGAGTACGCGGAAGCGGGCGGCGCGGACGGGGGCGCGTGCGCGGGGTCCCCGGGCCCCGCGGGCCCCAACGCGGCGGGCCCCCCGGGCCCCGCGGGCCCCGCGGGCGGCTCGCTGCCGGCGTTCAGCGCGCGCTTCGGCGGCGCCTTCGCCTGCGCCACCTCCCGGCCCTCCACCGTGTACGGAACACCTGCGTTAGCAGCCAACGCCTACGCACAGGTATTCATATCAGTTATTGAATGTCTTGTTTTTTTTTATGTAGCACATAGGTGACAAACGAGCATACGGCCCATGTGATGGTAAACGGTTACCGGGGCCTATGGACGCCTGAAACGGTTAGTTGTTGAATACAATAAGACACAAAAAGAGAAATAAGAAATAACATAAAAAGTCGGCAATAGGAGTTGCCTCAGCTGTTCCTAATATAAGCACAACCTCAATGATACACCTATACAGCGCTGAATTTTCAGGAAGCCCCCATTACCCATTAAAAAAAAAACGAAGATGCAGGTTTTTTACTATATACGGATACATATAAATTAATTATATTTAAAGTAAAAAATATATTAAATAAGATCTATAATACACAAATATAAATATACTAGCTGTCCCGGCAAACGTTGTTTTGCCTTATAATAAAAATAAAAAATTTAGGGGTGGACTACCCCTAACATTTAGGAGGATGAAAAATAGATGTTGGCCGATTCTCAGACCTACTCAATACGCTCACAAAATTTCATGAGAATCGGTCAAGCCGTTTCGGAGGAGTATGGGAACGAAAACTGTTACACGAGAATTTTATATCTAAGATATAAAATGAATTACAACATTCAGTGCGCATGAAAACCAAAATCAGTTACACAATAACAGTATCAAAGAAAAAGAAAAATTACAACGATGAAAAGAAAAGCCAATCCGTGTCAGTCGATACAATACAGCAGTGCCGGCGTCGGTATGAGTGATGGTGATGGTGATATTGATGTTATAGGTTTTTGGAATAGAATAGAAAAAGAGTAGAAAATCATTTATTCAAATAAACTTACATTGAAGCACTTTTGAATAGTCATCACATTTTTTTAATCTACCGCTCATTCGGAAAGCTGCCTCATCACAAGAAGAACGAGCAAGAAACTTGCGTGTTGCTCTTTTAAATAAATTTATTGTTACTTTACATTTTTAAGTTTAAGTGCGTGAATACAAACTACCAATTAGCACTAATTTAATTAAATACTCAAATAGAAAAAATATTGAATATATAACCAACTGGTCAAACAATTAATAAGAGGAAATCAGTCATAGTGATTAGAGCAGACCAGTCCCTAAAAGCAGCACCCGTTCACGAGTACGACGGATGAGCCAGCCATCACTGCGCTCGACCATATTTTAGGGAGCCCAATGACCCGGCCCACCACGCCGCCACAAGTCTGGACATTTTAGTGAGCATGACTACTCTAAAACACCAGACCACGTCATAGATGATAAATAAAATTGGAGTGTCTGTTTGTAATACTGAAATAACCTTTTTTACTATATGCATACATATACCAAAATAAGATTTTTTATAATTTTTTGTCTGTCTGTCTGTCGGTCTGTTTGATTCGGCTAATCTCTGAAACGGCTGGATCGATTTTGATGGGACTTTTATTGGTAGATAGCTGATGTAATAGGGAATAACTTAGGCTATTTTTATTTTAGAAAACATCTATTATTTTAGATTAATAAAGTTAATTTCAGAACAAAGTACAGCTGGTACTAATACAAGTTGCTATTTATATTTCAGGACGTGTGGGGTATGGACAACGGCCGCCGACCACAACTGTCCGCCGCCGCAAGCCTCTCAGCAAGTAAGTGCATGCATTACATAGATAGATAGACAAAAAAATATTTATATCTTAATACACATGTAGGTTTCATTACAAGCACACCGCCGTCTTAAACTAGGCTGGGGCCCTGTGGGGCACACAAGAATTCGGTGCCCTTTTGGAAAGTAAAAAAAAAACATTAGGTAAGAACATAGATATATCTGATAACATTTGTGAAAAAAGTGTATGGTGCCCGAAAAAAATTGTTTGAAAATAAATGTGTGAGAAAAATTGTCAATCCTTCGAGGGCCCTCTGAGAATGGGGACCCTGGGCACGCCCTCGTGCTCCCTTATGGTAAAGACGGTGTAAAAGCAGTATATATTACAGAATATTTATACCAATACAATACAATAAAAACCTGCACGTGTGTGCCGCAGACTTACAAAAATGACTCTTATAATTACTACAATAGAAGTAACCTTTGTTTAATCTCTAATTATAGACTGTAACACTTAATTGTAAAGATTTCTGATCCGTTATTTTAATAATATAAAGAAAGGAAGATAAATGCAGTAAATCTGAATAATATTACTCATTAAAAGTATATATGGTAACTAGCTCTCCACCCCGGCTTCGCACGGGTGTACATGTATTATACATGTAAACCTTCCTCTTGAATCACTTTATCTATTAAAAAAAACCGCTTCAAAATCCGTTGCGTAGTTTTAAAGATTTAAGCAAACATAGGGACGGACAGACAGCGACAGCGACTTTGTTTTATACTACGTAATGATAATGAGATAAACTACTGATTTTTCTATAATGTGCTGTTTATTAGCAGGTAGTCTATTTTTGTTAGTGTTTTTTATTGTATCATATTATTAATTTAATATTTCGAACAACTTCCGTGCAATTTACATCATTAATATGCATTGAATGTTTTAATAAAAACGTACCACCATTGTTTGATATTCTAAATTGCCAACAGTCGAAGTTGTGGTAAACACAGCACTTGAAATCTTCATATTTCATTAAGTATATAGAAATCCAAAATGATAGGGGCGAACATATTGTATGTCGGTTACATTTTTGGTTTGATATCGGTGTTTCCTTCACCGGAGAGTCAGACATATAAGCTTTATACTTTTTTGTATCAAGCAGATTTGAACTTATGACCTTCTGGGTATAATTCAGGGTAGTAAACGGCTGAACCATGACGCTAGTTTTAATAAACTTTCCTCAGCAAAATCGTTAGAATATTTAATAAATAATGTAAACGTGGTATACGGCCCACCTGATGGCATCGGTTACGGAACAGCATTATGTTGCACGTTGCTGACACTAAATATATTATTCTTAAAAATATACTGTTCTCATATTCAATATTTTATTAGAAATATATAAATGAGTTCTTGCTGTATTAAACTACCCCCTCCACCCCTGCCCCGCGGGGGTGGACCCCCTCCCCGCACTGACCCCTATATTTTTCATCCGCGCAGTTATTTATTTAACTTTATATATTGTAAAGAATTATGTAAGTAATTCTTTATTGTATACATAACCTCAAATAAGCAGTGCATTAAGTCATAATAATATGTACATACGGACAATACAGTTCTTGTATTTAATTTCTATATATACATATAAATAAAATTGGAGTGTCTGTTTGTAATATTAAAATAACCGTTTTTTACTACATGCATATGAATATAAATACGGTACATACACCAAAATAAATTTTTTTACATTTTTTCTCGGTCTGTTTGTTCCGGATAATCTCTGAAATGACTGGACCGATATTGACGGGACTTTTTTTGATGTAATAAGGAGTAACTTAGACTACTTTTATTTTAGAAAAATAAAGTTAAATTCCACGCGGACGAAGTCGGGATACAGCTAGTATATAATATGTCTCATTGTTTAATAACATTTTATAATATTATATAAGTAGGTATCATAAATTATTTATACTCTTTTAAAAATCATACATACATTTAATAAAATGATTTTATTTTAATTTTGTTTGATGTGTCATTTAATTACGTAAAATGTGCGAGGAGAGTAGGGTTGCCAACTTTTATTGGCAAAATAAACCTTTTTTTTAATTTTTTCTGATTACTCTAATGCTGTTGGCCGCAGCTGGCCTTTACAGTTTCACCGGACGATAGACGGCGACTGCAGATGGCACACCAAACCAAAGGAAGAACTTATGGAGCGGCTGAAGGCCAACTCCCGCCTGACGGATACGACTTTAGTCTGAGGGCACTGCTAGGGGTTCGAACCTCGGCTCAGGCCGTCGTAATATCGACCTCCGTTTGAATTGGACGGGGGATCGATCGGAGGGGAAAAAAATGTATAAACTGGTTTAGATACGAAAAAATAAAGTATTTTTCAGAACCTACGTTTTTGTTGCTTTAAAAACGTATTATTATATGCTCTTAGCACTAGAGCTGTGACAAATATCACAACTCACAATTGACACCTAACATTTCGTTCAGAAATTATAAATCTTTAAGTATCCATAATGAGTATTTTGTTTTACGCATCACAGTAAAGGTTGAAAATAAATTATTTTTGCATACTTTATCTGTATGTAAAAGTGTTGTATTTTATTGTATTTGTGGTATACGGAGAAAAAATTATATTAGGATAGACTACTGACTAGAATATACAACAGAATAGAAATGAAAGTAACAAACAAGAATCTACAAAAGGAACTATAAATTGAAATACAAATTTAGAATATAAAATACATATCTCAATAGCCAGTTATAACAAAAATTATAAAGTATAATTACCAACAATAAAGTAAGATACGTTATTATAAAGTACGATTGGTAACCCTAGAGGTGAGGCGTTCTGTCTAAGTTCTCGCAAATGAATCATCGTAAGTACTTACCAGTAGGTAGCTACTAGAACAAAAACCGACTAAAACTGTTTACAGCAGCGATGACTAACTTTGTAGGACTATTCCATTCCAATGTGGAATGGAATTACTCGTTTATTAATCTGCAGTAATAATATATTTGCTTAAAACTAACATTTAAGAAATCCAAACAATCTATACATATACATAAAATTGGAGTGACTGTTTGTAAAATTGAAATAACCGTTTTTTACTACACGCATATGAATATAAATACGGTACATAATCCAAAATAACATTTTTTACAATTTTTGTCTGTCTGTTTGTTCCGGCTAATCTCTGAAATGGTTGGACCGATTTTGACGGGCCTTTTTTATTTGGTATCTGATGTACTAAGGAGTAACTTAGGCTACTTTTATTTTAGAAAAATATAGTTAATTTCCACGCGGACGAAGTCGCTGGAACAGTTAGTTTAATATAAAATTCGTGGTAATGTATAATTATACATATAAACGATGTTGTTATATGTTACATCTTCAATTATAATAAACTACCTACTCGCCCCGTCTTCGCACGGGTGTGCATGTATTATACATATAATCCTTACTCTTGAGTCACTCTATCTATTAAAAGAAACCGCATCAAAATCCGTTCAAAGTAGTTTTAAAGATTTAAGCAAACATAGGGATGGACAGACAGCGACAGCGACTTTGTTTTATACTATGTAATGAAATACTTTTTTAATATGAAATGAACATAGAAGTAAACCCTGTAGATAGGGGATGAATTTTCGGTTTTTTTAGTAATTGACCCAACAAACAGGGAACAATTTTGCGTTTCATTATAGTCGAGATTAAAAATTATCATTAATATGTTACAGTATGGTATAATATATCAGTAGGTATATAGTATGCTTATTTATACCTCTTGCCAGCAATAAATAAAGAAATAAATACATTTGTACTATCTATAATAATCTCAGGACAATTCACACAGCGCCATCTAGACCCAAGTTAAGCTAGCTAAAGCTTGTGTTACGGGTACTAGACAACTGATACAAATACATATTATACATAGAAAACACCCAGACAGATACAAACAATCATACTCATGAATACAAATGTTTGTGCCGTGTGAGGAATCGAATCCGCGACCATTCGACGTAATGCGGTGCGCTGAACCGCTAGACCACCGAGGTTATATAATCTCTTTCTTGCCAGTAATAAGTAAAGAAATACATTTGTAATATTATTATGATGTAATGATAAAGTTTGATGTTATTAAATAAATCACTATGTAATCATTATCATAACATAGTATAAAATAAAGTCGCTGTCTGTCCGTCCCTATGTGTGCTTAAATCTTTAAAACTACGCAACGGATTCTGAAGCGTTTTTTTTTTAATTTTTAAAAAAGTTTCTAACGTCCGCCACCTACCCTGTTTTTATTTTTGTTCTCTATCCACCCAAAGGTAGTCTGGAAGAGATTGCTTAGCAATAACACCGACTTTTGATCAGTCATTGTATATTTTATATTTTAATTGTTTTTTTGTTCTGTAATTTTTGTTTTGTGATGCAATAAAGAGTGTAAATAAAATAAATAAATAATATTTAATGTGAAGTTAGGTTTAGTTAGTCATTTAGAGGACAAAACTTGTTTTGTCCTCTAAATGACCGTAAAACTGAACTGATCTGAAATGATACGCCACGCCCATGATCACACGATGTCTAGGGGAATGTCTAGACTAATCCTCAGACTCTAGAAACATGCGAGCAAATTCAAATTCCAAAATCATTTATTCATGTAGGACATTTTAGCCGCTATGAACGTCAAGTTTTTACATTATAACTTTTTTTTTCCTACCGTCCAGTTCGGATCGAGAAGAGCTGGTAAGAAACTCAATTGAATTACTTTTTTTTTTAAGCCACTTTATTTACTATGTATATTTATATAGGTGTTATATAGGTGATGTCTAACATTAAATGAAAATCCCGTACATGAACAACTATTGCCATGCACGCTCGTCATTCAAGTAATCGTTTAGTGAGAATAGGTTTAGCTATATATAATACATGTACACCCGTGCAAAGCCGGGGCAAGTAGCTAGTCGTAAATATGATGAATTTGGAAGTAACAGCGGATCTCAGTAGTAGATGGCAACAGTTTAGGTAGGTA